TCTCATCAGTTAACGCACTCTCACCCCAAATACACGAACGAACACACATAAAAGCACACACACACACACACACACACACACACACACACACACACAGAGAGAGAGAGAGAGAGAGAGAGAGAGAGAGAGACAGAGAGAGACAGAGAGACAGAGAGACAGAGAGACAGAGAGACAGAGAGACAGAGAGAGACAGAGAGAGAGAGAGAGAGAGAGACAGAGAGACAGATAGAGAGACAGAGAGAGGCACAGAGAGAGAGAGACAGAAAGAAAGAGTCATAAGATCTTATAGTTTTATAATTGAGCTGAAGATGTAGTTTCACCTCTAGTACGTTCCTTTCTTTCAAGGAATTTCTTACTCTAGGTTTAGTATCTGCACACTATATCGCTTATTAGTAAGTATTGTGTTTAAATTTTAATGTCAACAAAAGGTAGTTGATTAATCGCGCATGCACCGCTGGACGTTTATGGCTCTTTGGAAACCCGCGTCCTTGTTATTTGTATTGACACCTGTGTATCAATGGAGTCCTGATGATCCACGAGCCGCTATTGCCTCACAAAGCCAACGACGCTAAGCTGTTGTAAACACTGGTCAACAAGAGTGAATGGGAAGGAAAATCCTCACAACAAAAACCGTTCCAGTGTTATTGACACACGTACAGCCATGTTGTCTCAAATCTATAGAGACGTAAACAAAAGATTTTGATGAATGATGGACTATTGTGCGGTCGGTCTAAGAAAAACGCTAGAGGCGGAAACAACAACTGCGTAAAATCTACTGACCAAGCTACGGTCATTCTTCTCGCTGAAGCGTACAAGGATTTTGATTGGCTGTGGTAGAAGGAAGGGAGGAGCATCATGGAATATAAAACCAGCATTCCCGGGCATCCTCCAGTTCATCGTATCACTTTTGCAGTGAGAGGACGTTGGTGTTTCAGTGTACCCGAGTGTCATTTCTGCACATCTCTCGTGTATTTTCAAGTATGGAAAGTGTTGCAGTTCCTGCAGTGAGGTTCATTGCTGGTGACTTTTGGTCATCCGTGAAGATGAGGCAAGTGCGTGTTCTGTGCCAGAAGACGAGCACACCCGTCCAAGTGTTGGAAGCGGCAATGGAAGACGACGACTCCATTCGCAAGGTCATCAAGAGGATAGGTCTCACTGACCGCCGAGGCCGCGACAGTTGGCGTGAGGTTTTCAAGGAAATCAGCTTCATGGGCAACGTCTCACACCCGCATATCATGAAGATGGACTGGGCGGTGAGGTGCAAGGGCTTTGTAGCTATTTGCATGCCTCTGTGCTCACGAGGATCTTTGCACGATGCACTCCACAGTCTAAATGGAGAGCAGATAGAGCGTTACTTTGTGCAGATCGCCTGTGCACTGAGATATCTTCACGTTAGGTGCGCTGTGCACGGGGACGTGAAGCCCGCCAACATTTTGCTAGATGAATCCAACAACGCTATTCTTGGCGACCTGGGGATGTCCCGCTTCTTGGCCCGCGGACAAGATCGAGTAAGAAGCTGGAGTATACTTGGAACAAGAGGCTTCCTCGCTCCAGAGATCCAGTCTGACGTCATCGTAGATCCTTTTCTGGTGAGTAACTGCAGACTTTTCTTTTCAGCGAGCTTGTTTGTTTGCTAGTTTATAACTATTTTGTTTAGCTTCCTTTTGTTGTGCAGGTTTGTAGTTGCTTTGTTTGTTTCTTTCTCGGTCTATCTGTGCGTTTTGCGTTCGTTTTGTTATTCTCTTGTTGTTTCTGTTGTTAGTAGTAATGTTTTCCCTTACCTGTTGTTTGTAAGCTGTGATTTTCTTTTCTTAAGGCCATGTATGTATTACTTCCTTCCTTTGTTTTTCTGTCGTGGTTTTGTTTATTCCTGTCTGCTGCTGTGTTTATAATTCATTATCTTTATTTATTTAAATTTTCTTCTTTCTGAGTGCTCCGTGAACGTCTTTGTATACTACGGCGACTGTTATTTCTAGGTACCATTTGCTCACTCTTGACAAACACTATAGATCTCTGACATTTTTGTCTCTACGCAGACGGACGCGTACGCACTTGGAGCAACGCTGTGGTGTCTGGTCTTCAAACGTAACCCTCGCAACTGGGAGGATCTTCTGACCGCTATGGAGTCCGACAGCACCCTGCTGCCACGCTTGGGTTTCCACAGGTAAGCACGCCATTCTTTGGGTTCTTTAGCACAGCCTTTTTAATTTTTAAAACCTAGTTCTGCTCAGATCTCTTAACTGTTATCATTACTGCTTTTAATTCCTCCTCGGTGAAAGATGAATTGTTTCTTTAGCACGTTCTTGCTTGATGTCTGTCACGTTTAAGCTCTAGCAATGTCATCCTATTTACAATCTACTTGCTTTCTCTCGAAGTTGCCAGTTGCTTATCTCAGTGCCATTGTTTACTCCACAGATTTGTTCTCTCCAGGCTTGTACAGAGCAACCCACGACTCCGACTTTCAGTCTGCGATCTCCTGGCATTTCTGCGTGTGCGCTTTGAGAGGTTCAGGGTAATCATAGACTGTCTGTAAAGGGTGCAAGTGCTGTATTTACCTGCTTTATTTTCACTTCACTAACAAACGTTTTTTCTTAGTTTTCAGATTTTTCTCAGCTCCCGTTGAATTAATATAACTAATACCCTAACTGCTCATTAAAAAAATTGAAGTACTAATTGGACTACTAATTTGCTGACAAATGTTTCCACTCAACAACATGTGCCCCGTGTTTTGTACCTGTGTCTGTCTTAAACTACAGATAACTAGAAGACAGACCACTTGGTCCTGCGGATGGTGTGAAGAAGGAAGAAAAGCAGGAAGCAGGTCACACCAAGGCAAGCATCGCGTTTGTAACATCACAGCTGAGATGATCATGTGCGTAATTACCAGTCGACGAGGACTTGCACATGTTGCTGGTGAGTAGTTACCTTCAGCCACTAAGGTGGGGTTTCTACCTAGAAAGTGATCTCAACAGTTTCTCTATTTAATCTTAACACAGTTGTCTCCCTGTTATTGGAAAACTTAGGTTCTGTCTAACACGCTGGTTTTTCTCTCGTTTGTTTTTTTCTGTGTTTCCATTAATATGTTACTAACGAGCAGTAATTATTCCAAACACTGTGGGGGCAGTGCTTGGTTTAGTCGACACCTTTGGGTTTTTTGTGTTCCAATAACTACTTTTTAATTAATAATCTTTACAATATGAACTGTAGCTCCAACTTACTCTTGTTAGCAAAATGTACTAATCTTATCATTTACATTCGTGTACTGACCCAACTCATAACACTAACATTTTTAACCTTACTAACGACTAATATAACCCAGACGTGAGCGCTCGGTAGCGCCGTCTTTTTAATCAGGCCTCGGTGTACAGTGTACTCTGAGACGGTCCCAAGCCCGTGGAAACTGAGAGGGAAAAGACCATGACGACAACAAGAACAAAAATCAAAGTAGTATCTCATCGGTGTGTTTGTGATTCCATAGAGTAAATTGTTTGACAGATATTTACGAAAACGTGTTTTTCTGGGGTTTTGTTTTGGGCTTGAAGTGTAAGTTTAACATTCTTCAAACTCATTTACACATCGCACCGTCAAAATAAGATTTAAACTGATACCAATTTGAGCGTTAGAAAACCTGTAGTCAAATTAAAAGAAATATTTCGTTTGGTGTCACAGACCACAAGCCAATAACAGAAGAAAAAAATATCAGAAGTTACCGATTGCAGTATACAGAATAAGTAGTTTCTTTGTTGTTGTTTCTTTACCTTTGGAAAACAAGCAAATGCCAGGTTCCGTCCCCAAGATATCCACGGAGAATGTTAATTTTTGATCCCTTCTTTCTTGGACTAACGGAGACAACCGAATTTGAGTCTTTGTTCTTTGCCGATTTCGTCTCTGTATTAACATAACCTGTCAAAGATCATGTAAATTGATATTTCAAATATTTCATTTTTATCCTATTCTTGATCGGATTTTAATTTTCTGTCAAATTCATTTTTGAACAGCACAAACAGAAACAAAATTACAAACTCATTCTCATCAGTTAACGCACTCTCACCCCAAATACACGAACGAACACACATAAAAGCACACACACACACACACACACAGAGAGAGAGAGAGAGAGAGAGAGAGAGAGAGAGAGAGAGAGAGAGAGAGAGACAGAGAGACAGAGAGACAGAGAGACAGAGAGACAGAGAGACAGAGAGACAGAGAGACAGAGAGACAGAGAGAGAGAGACAGAGAGACAGAGAGAGAGCATGAGAGAGACAGAGACAGAGAGAGAGACAGAAAGAAAGAGTCATAAGATCTTATAGTTTTATAATTGAGCTGAAGATGTAGTTTCACCTCTAGTACGTTCCTTTCTTTCAAGGAATTTCTTACTCTAGGTTTAGTATCTGCACACTATATCGCTTATTTGTAAGTATTGTGTTTAAATTTTAATGTCAACAAAAGGTAGTTGATTAATCGAACATGCACCGCTGGACGTTTATGGCTCTTTGGAAACACGCGTCCTTGTTATTTGTATTGACACCTGTGTATCAATGGAGTCCTGATGATCCACGAGCCGCTATTGCCTCACACAGACAACGACGCTAAGCTGTTGTAAACACTGGTCAACAAGAGTGAATGGGAAGGAAAATCCTCACAACAAAAACCGTTCCAGTGTTATTTCACACGTACAGCCATGTTGTCTCAAATCTATAGAGACGTAAACAAAAGATTTTGATTCATGTTGGACTATTGTGCGGTCGGTCTAAGAAAAACGCTAGAGGCGGAAACAACAACTGCGTAAAATCTACTGACCAAGCTACGGTCATTCTTCTCGCTGAAGCGTACAAGGATTTTGATTGGCTGTGGTAGAAGGAAGGGAGGAGCATCATGGAATATAAAACCAGCATTCCCGGGCATCCTCCAGTTCATCGTATCGCTTTTGCAGTGAGAGGACGTTGGTGTTTCAGTGTACCCGAGTGTTATTTCTGCGCATCTCTCGTGTATTTTCAAGTATGGAAAGTGTTGCAGTTCCTGCAGTGAGGTTCATTGCTGGTGACTTTTGGTCATCCGTGAAGATGAGGCAAGTGCGTGTTCTGTGCCAGAAGACGAGCACACCCGTCCAAGTGTTGGAAGCGGCAATGGAAGACGACGACTCCATTCGCAAGGTCATCAAGAGGATAGGTCTCACTGACCGCCGAGGCCGCGACAGTTGGCGTGAGGTTTTCAAGGAAATCAGCTTCATGGGCAACGTCTCACACCCGCATATCATGAAGATGGACTGGGCGGTGAGGTGCAAGGGCTTTGTAGCTATTTGCATGCCTCTGTGCTCACGAGGATCTTTGCACGATGCACGCCACAGTCTAAACGGAGAGCAGATAGAGCGTTACTTTGTGCAGATCGCCTGTGCACTGAGATATCTTCACGTTAGGTGCGCTGTGCACGGGGACGTGAAGCCCGCCAACATTTTGCTAGATGAATCCAACAACGCTATTCTTGGCGACCTGGGGATGTCCCGCTTCTTGGCCCGCGGACAAGATCGAGTGAGAAGCTGGAGTATACTTGGAACAAGAGGCTTCCTCGCTCCAGAGATCCAGTCTGACGTCATCGTAGATCCTTTTCTGGTGAGTAACTGCAGACTTTTCTTTTCAGTGAGCTTGTTTGTTTGCTAGTTTATCACTATTTTGTTTAGCTTCCTTTTGTTGTGCAGGTTTGTAGTTGCTTTGTTTGTTTCTTTCTCGGTCTATCTGTGCGTTTTGCGTTCGTTTTGTTATTCTCTTGTTGTTTCTGTTGTTAGTAGTAATGTTTTCCCTTACCTGTTGTTTGTAAGCTGTGATTTTCTTTTCTTAAGGCCATGTATGTATTACTTCCTTCCTTTGTTTTTCTGTCGTGGTTTTGTTTATTTCTGTCTGCTGCTGTGTTTATAATTCATTATCTTTATTTATTTACCTTTTCTTCTTTCTGAGTGCTCCGTGAACGTCTTTGTATACTACGGCGACTGTTATTTCTAGGTACCATTTGCTCACTCTTGACAAACACTATAGATCTCTGACATTTTTGTCTCTACGCAGACGGACGCGTACGCACTTGGAGCAACGCTGTGGTGTCTGGTCTTCAAACGTAACCCTCGCAACTGGGAGGATCTTCTGACCGCTATGGAGTCCGACAGCACCCTGCTGCCACGCTTGGGTTTCCACAGGTAAGCACGCCATTCTTTGGGTTCTTTAGCACAGCCTTTTTAATTTTTAAAACCTAGTTCTGCTCAGCTCTCTTAACTGTTATCATTACTGCTTTTAATTCCTCCTCGGTGAAAGATGAATTGTTTCTTTAGCACGTTCTTGCTTGATGTCTGTCACGTTTAAGCTCTAGCCATGTCATCCTATTTACAATCTACTTGCTTTCTCTCGAAGTTGCCAGTTGCTTATCTCAGTGCCATTGTTTACTCCACAGATTCGTTCTCTCCAGGCTTGTACAGAACAACCCACGACTCCGACTTTCAGTCTGCGATCTCCTGGCATTTCTGCGTGTGCGCTTTGAGAGGTTCAGGGTAATCATAGACTGTCTGTAAAGGGTGCAAGTGCTGTATTTACATGCTTTATTTTCACTTCACTAACAAACGTTTTTTCTTAGTTTTCTGATTTTTCTCAGCTCCCGTTGAATTAATATAACTAATACCCTAACTGCTCATTAAAAAAATTGAAGTACTAATTGGACTACTAATTTGCTGACAAATGTTTCCACTCAACAACATGTGCCCCGTGTTTTGTACCTGTGTCTGTCTTAAACTACAGATAACTAGAAGACAGACCACTTGGTCCTGCGGATGGTGTGAAGAAGGAAGAAAAGCAGGAAGCAGGTCACACCAAGGCAAGCATCGCGTTTGTAACATCACAGCTGAGATGATCATGTGCGTAATTACCAGTCGACGAGGACTTGCACATGTTGCTGGTGAGTAGTTACCTTCAGCCACTAAGGTGGGGTTTCTACCTACAAAGTGATCTCAACATTTTCTCTATTTAATCTTAACACAGTTGTCTCCCTGTTATTGGAAAACTTAGGTTCTGTCTAACACGCTGTTTTTTCTCTTGTTTGTTTTTTTTTCTGTGTTTCCATTAATATGTTACTAACGAGCAGTCATTATTCCAAACACTGTGGGGGCAGTGCTTGGTTTAGTCGCCACCTTTGATTTTTGTGTGTTCCAATAACTACTTTTTAATTAATAATCCTTACAATATGAACTGTAGCTCCAACTTACTCTTGTTAGCAAAATGTACTAATCTTATCATTTACATTCGTGTACTGACCCAACTCATAACACTAACATTTTTAACCTTACTAACGACTAATATAACCCAGACGTGAGCGCTCGGTAGCGCCGTCTTTTTAATCAGGCCTCGGTGTACAGTGTACTCTGAGACGGTCCCAAGCCCGTGGAAACTGAGAGGGAAAAGACCATGACGACAACAAGAACAAAAATCAAAGTAGTATCTCATGGGTGTGTTTGTGATTCCATAGAGTAAATTGTTTGACAGATATTTACGAAAACGTGTTTTTCTGGGGTTTTGTTTTGGGCTTGAAGTGTAAGTTTAACATTCTTCAAACTCATTTACACATCGCACCGTCAAAATAAGATTTAAACTGATACCAATTTGAGCGTTAGAAAACCTGTAGTCAAATTAAAAGAAATATTTCGTTTGGTGTCACAGACCACAAGCCAATAACAGAAGAAAAAAATATCAGAAGTTACCGATTGCAGTATACAGAATAAGTAGTTTCTTTGTTGTTGTTTCTTTACCTTTGGAAAACAAGTAAATGCCAGGTTCCGTCCCCAAGATATCCATGGAGAATGTTAATTTTTGATCCCTTCTTTCTTGGACTAACGGAGACAACCAAATTTGAGTCTTTGTTCTTTGCCGATTTCGTCTCTGTATTAACATAAGCTGTCAAAGATCATGTAAATTGATATTTCAAATATTTCATTTTTATTCTATTCTTGATCGGATTTTAATGTTCTGTAAAATTCATTTTTGAACAGCACAAACAGAAAGAAAATTACAAACTCATTCTCATCTGTTAACGCACTCTCACCCCAAATACACGAACGAACACACATAAAAGCACACACACACACACACACACACACACACACACACACGGAGAGAGAGAGAGAGAGAGAGAGAGAGAGAGAGAGAGAGAGAGAGAGAGAGACAGAGAGACAGAGAGAGACAGAGAGACAGAAAGACAGAGAGACAGAGAGACAGAGAGAGACAGAGAGAGAGAGAGAGAGAGAGAGAGACAGAGAGACAGATAGAGAGACAGAGAGAGGCACAGAGAGAGAGAGACAGAAAGAAAGAGTCATAAGATCTTATAGTTTTATAATTGAGCTGAAGATGTAGTTTCACCTCTAGTACGTTCCTTTCTTTCAAGGAATTTCTTACTCTAGGTTTAGTATCTGCACACTATATCGCTTATTAGTAAGTATTGTGTTTAAATTTTAATGTCAACAAAAGGTAGTTGATTAATCGCGCATACACCGCTGGACGTTTATGGCTCTTTGGAAACCCGCGTCCTTGTTATTTGTATTTTTGTATTGACACCTGTGTATCAATGGAGTCCTGATGATCCACGAGCCGCTATTGCCTCACAAAGCCAACGACGCTAAGCTGTTGTAAACACTGGTCAACAAGAGTGAATGGGAAGGAAAATCCTCACAACAAAAACCGTTCCAGTGTTATTTCACACGTACAGCCATGTTGTCTCAAATCTATAGAGACGTAAACAAAAGATTTTGATTCATGTTGGACTATTGTGCGGTCGGTCTAAGAAAAACGCTAGAGGCGGAAACAACAACTGCGTAAAATCTACTGACCAAGCTACGGTCATTCTTCTCGCTGAAGCGTACAAGGATTTTGATTGGCTGTGGTAGATGGAAGGGAGGAGCATCATGGAATATAAAACCAGCATTCCCGGGCATCCTCCAGTTCATCGTATCGCTTTTGCAGTGAGAGGACGTTGGTGTTTCAGTGTACCCGAGTGTCATTTCTGCACATCTCTCGTGTATTTTCAAGTATGGAAAGTGTTGCAGTTCCTGCAGTGAGGTTCATAGCTGGTGACTTTTGGTCATCCGTGAAGATGAGGCAAGTGCGTGTTCTGTGCCAGAAGACGAGCACACCCGTCCAAGTGTTGGAAGCGGCAATGGAAGACGACGACTCCATTCGCAAGGTCATCAAGAGGATAGGTCTCACTGACCGCCGAGGCCGCGACAGTTGGCGTGAGGTTTTCAAGGAAATCAGCTTCATGGGCAACGTCTCACACCCGCATATCATGAAGATGGACTGGGCGGTGAGGTGCAAGGGCTTTGTAGCTATTTGCATGCCTCTGTGCTCACGAGGATCTTTGCACGATGCACGCCACAGTCTAAACGGAGAGCAGATAGAGCGTTACTTTGTGCAGATCGCCTGTGCACTGAGATATCTTCACGTTAGGTGCGCTGTGCACGGGGACGTGAAGCCCGCCAACATTTTGCTAGATGAATCCAACAACGCTATTCTTGGCGACCTGGGGATGTCCCGCTTCTTGGCCCGCGGACAAGATCGAGTGAGAAGCTGGAGTATACTTGGAACAAGAGGCTTCCTCGCTCCAGAGATCCAGTCTGACGTCATTGTAGATCCTTTTCTGGTGAGTAACTGCAGACTTTTCTTTTCAGTGAGCTTGATTGTTTGCTAGTTTATCACTATTTTGTTTAGCTTCCTTTTGTTGTGCAGGTTTGTAGTTGCTTTGTTTGTTTCTTTCTCGGTCTATCTGTGCGTTTTGCGTTCGTTTTGTTATTCTCTTGTTGTTTCTGTTGTTAGTAGTAATGTTTTCCCTTACCTGTTGTTTGTAAGCTGTGATTTTCTTTTCTTAAGGCCATGTATGTATTACTTCCTTCCTTTGTTTTTCTGTCGTGGTTTTGTTTATTCCTGTCTGCTGCTGTGTTTATAATTCATTATCTTTATTTATTTACCTTTTCTTCTTTCTGAGTGCTCCGTGAACGTCTTTGTATACTACGGCGACTGTTATTTCTAGGTACCATTTGCTCACTCTTGACAAACACTATAGATCTCTGACATTTTTGTCTCTACGCAGACGGACGCGTACGCACTTGGAGCAACGCTGTGGTGTCTGGTCTTCAAACGTAACCCTCGCAACTGGGAGGATCTTCTGACCGCTATGGAGTCCGACAGCACCCTGCTGCCACGCTTGGGTTTCCACAGGTAAGCACGCCATTCTTTGGGTTCTTTAGCACAGCCTTTTTAATTTTTAAAACCTAGTTCTGCTCAGCTCTCTTAACTGTTATCATTACTGCTTTTAATTCCTCCTCGGTGAAAGATGAATTGTTTCTTTAGCACGTTCTTGCTTGATGTCTGTCACGTTTAAGCTCTAGCCATGTCATCCTATTTACAATCTACTTGCTTTCTCTCGAAGTTGCCAGTTGCTTATCTCAGTGCCATTGTTTACTCCACAGATTCGTTCTCTCCAGGCTTGTACAGAACAACCCACGACTCCGACTTTCAGTCTGCGATCTCCTGGCATTTCTGCGTGTGCGCTTTGAGAGGTTCAGGGTAATCATAGACTGTCTGTAAAGGGTGCAAGTGCTGTATTTACATGCTTTATTTTCACTTCACTAACAAAC